ACCAAATCCATATTTTACCCGAGTCTCTATGAGATGTAATTCGGTTTCAGTCATAGCTATGTCAAATCGTCATTAAATCTCTTCAAAATTGGTAGAATGACGGGTATTTACATGCTTTACTATTTCATATAACCCGTTTATTTTTCAGAGTAATAATAGTCAAGATACAAATGGTTTATATTGGTATAATAAATTATACGCAAAAAAACCGGTCTGGATCGGTCTGAACCAGCTCCATAGACCGAAAAAGACCGGTCCTGGGTGGTTCGGTTCGGTTCCCTCAATATCTGGGTCAGTCCTAGACCGGTTGCGGTCCATGGTTGCGCGTTTTGGGGGCAAAAAACCGGACTGAACTGAACTTGCGAACACTAGGAGGGACAGACAGGAAAGGGGGGAGGGAAAAGGGGGTACATGGAAATGGGGAGGGACAGGGAAGGGGGATGGGAGTACATGGAAATGGGGAGGGACAGGGAAGAGGGGCAGGAAAAGGAAGGGAGGGACAGGGAAGGGGGAGGGACAATGCACTCGTCGTCGTCGTGTGATGTCGTGGTGGCTGTTAGCGAGATGGGATAGGATGAAGGAGAGTCAGGGGACTCACCTTTGTGTGAACGACGAACGACGACGTCGTCGTCGTCGTTCGTCGTTTGGTTGCCACATCGCTGACAGCGACGTGGCACCTTGGTTTCCCATCGGCGGGGGCACGTCGTCATGCGTTGACGTGGGTGTCCGTTGGCGTGGTCATCGTCCATTGACGTGGTGGTGGTGCGTTGACGTGGTCGTCCGCTGGCGTGGTCGTCGTCCGTTGAGGTGGTGGTGCGTTGACGTGGTTGTCCGCTGGCGTGGTCGTCGTCCGCTGGCGTGGTCGTGGTCCGTTGACGTGGTCGTGGTCCATTGACGTGGGCGTCCGTTGACGTCGTGGGGCGTGTCGTGGTTCGTGGGCGTGGTCATGGTCGTCGTGGTTGTCCCTCGTGGTCCGTTTTCGTCCCTCGCCGGGGCTCGTTTGCTTGCTGACGTGGCGTTGCCGCGTTGTTGATGTGGTCGTTGTTGGCGGTCGACAACGTTTGTGGGCGGTGGTGGCCACAGCTGACCGTGGTGACGTGGCGTGGGTGGGTAGCGGGCGCGCGTTTACGAGGAGCGGGGACGTTGGTGGTGGTGGGAGGCAAGAGGTGTCAGATTCACCGATCACACACGTTGAGTCCCACGGGTGGGGGGGGGGGGGGTACAGCCACCGGTTACACATAGCCGTAGCACAACCGGAAAATTCGGCAAGTCGGCAACAGCGACGTAGGAATTTCATTGTAATGTAGAGTCACCTCATTTATCTTTGACGTGTCGCGCCTCCTAAACGAGACGCGTCCTTCCCAACACTCATTCACACAACATGCCTCACTGATACTGTACATAGTGTCTCTTCACATTCTTTGTCAAATATTCCAAGTCCCACTGACAGATCCCCTTCACAACAATCAAATCAAGTACTTTGCGGCCTCTGTTATGAGCTTATCGGGAAGTGTAACATCTCCATCCAAAGTGGAAAAGCGCGCTCCACATGTTCAAAGGCCTACAATTTCATGATTCACGTTGCCGCAAAGATGACCGCAAAGAAAGCCTGCACAAACGTACCTATTAAATGTGATTTCTGTTCTGAAATTCACTGGAAGTACAATATATACAGACACCTTCAAGAACGGCATGCTTCATGGGAACGGCGAGGAGATTACAAGAAGTTTTCTGACAAGATTTCTATTTTGCCGGAGGAGGAGGAAAGATTAGGTATACCTGAGGATCGCATCGGTAATTCTGCCATCGCGCAATTAACTCACGACGCTCGCCACATGAATCGCTTACCAACAGTTCGTGATTTGCATAGTGATTCTCCTCGACGACCTCGGAATCACACTCAACCAATGCAACATCCATCCGTAGCAATACCATTTGCTTTGGAAACACCCAATTCCCATTTTTATCAACAACAAATGGACATTTTCTATTGATTTGTAGATACCAAATTCTAATACTTACTTAACGTTCAATATTCGCGTCGTCGAGCTTACATTTGGACGTCTAGCGGAGTTGTATTTTGTTTGATGCGACTGCTAATGCCGTTAAAATGCCGGAGCTCGGAAATGGCCGCTGTCAAACTCTTGTGACAGATCTGACGTCCAGCATCGCCGGATCTGACACCTCTTGGTGGGAGGAGAGGTTAGTGGTGGTGGGAGAGAAGAGGGTTGTATTTGGATGAGCGTGAAAGCCGTTGCCAAACAAACAATTGTTTGGCAATGGGCTTGTGCCAAACAAACCGGATTCCGGTTGCATTCCGTTTTTGCCAATCCGGGGACATTCCGGTC